CAAAGGTTTTATGGGTTCAGGGAAAATGTCCCATGAACTCATAAACCACATGGTAAATTTTGTTTAAATTTTGCATACAGGTGACATTTAATGCATATAACTGTCCTATGTTGTCAATTTTAAAGTTCCTTATAGTGCCCATTAGGGGTGTTCTACCTTAGAACGTTTTTGAAATGTTCATGTTTGCAGAAATGAAATAATTCTATTATATACATAAAACGAAAAGTAAACTCATTTAATTGCGAACTTAAAATCACCCGCTTGATTTGCGTTACGTTGCGTACTGTATCTGTTAAAAATAGCCTCCTTAATAATTACTGTAAGGAAATGGCATATTTTTTAAGTCTGTCCTTTCATGAATCCCTGCACCACAGCTTTTGGGTCCCTTAATGTCCTCGGTGCGGTTGTTATGTGGGTCGCAACGAACGGAAAATTCTCGTAACAAATGACGTTTTCAAAAAAGGTGTTTTGGAGAGAAGGAGTCCCTGATGCCTAATCATTAGTGTTCTGTAATAATATAAGCAGTGAAAAGAAAGTTTTAAAGCCTTATTCAAGAACATTATGTTACTTTTAATTAAAGTCTATTAAGGTTTTTTTTACTTTCAATTAGGAAGTTAAAAATGCCTACAAATATTTCTTCCAACAAAGGCTTTTAAAAACTTTTAAAATTAAGAAGTTAGAAGTAAAACAAAGAAATGAAGAAGCCTTATTTAAATTTAAAAACAATAATATTGTTATTAAATGATAAATAAGGCCTATTTACTACTTTGTTGTTCCTTAAATAAAGAGTTTTACACAGCCTAATTTAACCAGAAATACCTTGTATGGTCATAAATAAGGAGTTCAGAAATAAAATCTTAAACAAGACTTTGGCAAAATAAAGGACTTTGTGAAGTTCCAAAATTAGGCCTTAAAATCCTGAATTTAGAGGAAATTATGAGAAATAAAGTTCTAATTTTTGAAAAAGAAGTTATGAAAGGATTTTTTTTCTCTTTACATGCTTTCATTTTACTAAAACTTAATAAATACGGACACATGCACATGTAGTTAGGGTACTTACTCATAAAAAGATTTGTTAACAATTCTGTAAGGTAAAGGGGAAAAGATAATTTGGAAATAACGCTTCGTGATCAATATTTGAAAGTATCTAAATCACAAGTTTCCAGGCTGGACACATGTATACAGGAAATTATAGCCTGAATGGAAGATAATATGACCCGAGCAAGGCGTTAGCGAGAGGGTTTATATTTAATGTCAGCAACGCTTTATTTCCTCCTATATCATCCGCGTTAGAACCTGAGTTAATACAAATGCAAATTTCTAAAAACGCGGCTTATAAAAGTTTTGGAAAGCCAAAACCTATTATGGAAGGAGATTTGTAGTAAAGGAGGATTCTGGAGGCAGGGATTGGTCCCAACACGTCACGGGGATAACCTATTATTGCAAAAAAAAATTTTTGCAAAGATAAATGGGTATATTAAAGGTATTTGTGGTTAATCCTATAATAAGTGGAACCATTTAGACACTGATGGATATCACTGTTACTGTTCCTGAGAGAGATCTTGGTAATTCTGTCCAAATGTTAGACACTTTTTCGAATAGTCACAGAAAGTGGCAAATAGATGTGTTACGTTGTACACAATATTTAAATATCTTTGTTTTTCCAATTTCTTTGGGAAAGCCTTATAATTAAGAAATTGAAAATAATAATTTGTAAATTTGTAAAAAAAGGTGGCGAGTTTTATAAAGATAATAAAAAGGAATCACGTTTTGATAACTAGTTTTACTACGATTTATATAAAGATGAAATGACTGGTCATTTGCTTTCATAAATTTTTTATGGCAGTTATATTTTTTTAATAAGATTTAAACTGTACTGACCTCTTTGGTGAAAATCTAAAATTCATCGATGGAAAAAATATTCTTATTGAATATATGCGTTTGATTTTTTGTACAATAGAAAGGCAGTAATTTAATAACACTTTATTTAGGAAAATCGTCTATTATTAAGATGAGTGTATTGATTTAATTTTATCAACGGTCGCAGATACATTGGTATGTGCGCTGTTATTTTGTAAATGCTAACTATTAAACTATTTAAAAGACCCAGAAAACACTAATCTACACAAAAAACAATATGATGTTAAACCATCCAATATGTACCATAAACAGCACTAGAACAGTCAATGAAATAACACCATTTTCAACCTCACATTACAAAATTTCTCAGTCTATGGGAGGCGACACCCCTCCCATGCCCACCTCAATTACATATATTTTCTTAATTCCATATCATCTAAATATTTACAAAAACATTACTGCACACATATATAAGCAAAGTATATTGCCACTCATCAAGATGAGATGGTCACATGAACAAGATGTTGGTCCATTATTCGAACAAGCGCTATTTTTGCCTGTAGCATTTCTTTTGTCAAAATTTTCCACCCATTTGTCACCCCCCCCCCCCCCCAGGGAAACCATGTTCTGTATTACAATAGTTACAATTACAATAGTAACATGGGAACGTCCTGTCAGAGTGTAACTGTTTAAGCCGCCGCATGTTCTCGGCCCTTTGCGTCAGACTAATAATAAGTAACCGTCGAGGTGTTCCGATTGCTATTTCAGGCTGTAGAGTTAGTACTGAATAATAATTGCCGGAAACTCCGAGTGTGTGACACCTTTCCATTGCAATTATAGTTCAAAAAGATATAACGACATTTAGCACTACGTGCATTATTTTATAGTTCAGTGTTAATTTACTTCATTTTTACAATCGAAATTATACACATCTCACTTCACCTGGGAGGTATCAAATAACATGTTCCAGCCTGGTACAAACAATATAAATTCCAGTTTGATATGCAAGAACACTTATCTAGTGATAATGCAAAAAGTACTGAAAATATTTCTATGAAACTTGAAATGTGGGTAGATGGCAGTATGGAGATTGTGTATGTCTTTTTCTTTTCACCTATTTAGAAAAAGATTGGTTGCCATGGCAACAAATAGGCTTAAAACATTGCATATAAAACAATATTTGTGATAAGTAAAAAAAGCTGAACATTTTTATGAATTTTAAAATATGGATAGATGGTAGTATGGAAATTATATCTTGACTATAGGGAGTATATTGAGAGCTGTCATACTTAACAAAACGTCGGCAACCTCGTCAAGATTTCTGATTCTAGTTTTAAGGCTTTTCACTATAAGTTCTTTATTTCTTAAGTTATTTACTTCAAACTTCAAACATAAGTTTCTGGTCATTAACCACATCATAGCTGTGACAGAGGTTTTAACTCTAGCAACAAATTATCAGAATTGCCTCCCTTGAACTTACATTGAAAAAAATTGTTGTTTTAATAACTTTCTTTAGCTTTTATGGGTACTCTTCATCTTATCACAACTTCATAATATTGATTTCTTATTAATCACTCAAATAATTCTGAAGAAGGTTCAATACTCTAGGCAAACTTTCAACAAATTATGATCCTTGAACCTTTTGATGTTTTTTCGAGAACTGGTTATATTTTACCTTAACTTTCCATTACTTATAGTAATTTACTTCAAACCCATCTAATAAATATGACAATTTTCATAAATCTAGCATCCTATTTTCAAAGAATTATCTTTCTCCTTAATTCTGTGAATTTTTCTTAATCATTATTTAACTTCTTTTACTTCAAATTCAAAATAAAATTTCATTATGAAACAGCTTCATTACTAATTGTTCTTTGTTACACTCACATCATGTATGACATCTTGGAGCTTCATTTCAAGAGTTATCTCCTCTTTAAGAATTTTGCTTTTAAAAATGATATATTTAGGTAACAGGGATGTTAAAAAAAGTAACTTTAGAGTGTCCAACAGTTTGTCTGTTCATAAAAACTGTTCCCTGTGATCACTTTTAAAGAAATTTTTGTGATCACTTTTCCAACAAAGTTTCTTAAAAAAGAGAAATATTGAAACATAAGTGAATGGCCAATGGCCTTTCAGAATGTTGCTGGGGTTCTAACCACGGTAGGGGACTTATGGAATTGCTTGCAATACTAATGATAATTGCTTGTTAAATTATCGCTTAGTATCACACGAATTAAACAGAACTGACAGTAGAGATGTTTATCCTTTGTCCCACCAATTAGTCCCAGATGTTGATTACGAGAAATTTTGGCCTCGCGAAAATATTTAACTTTACAGTACATAACTTAATGCACAAATGAATTGTGTACATTAGTCACATACAGGTACTATGCAATGGACGAAAATAATCACATGAAGTATCTATACAATGGATAAAAATGATCACAAGAAATGTCTCTATGCAATGGACGAAAATGATCACATACTTGTTTCAGAGTTGGAATTTTACACTTCGTTACTGCCTGAATTAAAGTCAGAGAAAAGCAAGAGAAAAAATAACCTCCCATCCGTCGGCACGTGCACACCGTGGAGAATCAAAGGGCTGCAGCCGAAGATTTGGAGCTTCGTCGGAGTTTGCTTCACCAAGGCTACGCTAGCAGGTCAATATCTGAGCAGGTCAAACTACGGGCCAGTTGCCGATGCTCTGTCTGACATCAAGGAGAGTGGCAAGGGACGACGACGAAGGGTACTTGGGTGAGTCCCTAGTCCTCAATGATGGATATTAGCTTTGCACCAGCTATCATTCATTATTTGACAGGTTACTGTACATTATGGTGCTAACTGAACGCTGAATCTAATTCATATTTTGGTTGTGACCCTCATTGAACATTCAATGAAGAAAAAACCCAACTTAAACTTAAATAAAACTCAAAAATGTCACATGAATCGTTACAAATTCAAGGGGAAAATTTGCTTTAAATATTAGAACGAAGTTCTCCAATCTGTGCAAACAATGAAGGGGAGATTATTTCGTGAAGATTGTCATGGTGCGTCGTTAAAATAACCTACAACGTCATTTGAATTGCGTACTAACGTTTATGACGTCATAACGTTAACAACTAAATCATTTAACGACGCCAGTTTGTGAAGAACTGTAGCTAACTTCAGCTGTCATCCTTTATTATTGAAAAATACCAGAATGGACACTGTATATCAGCCTTCATTTATCTTTTCGCAGAATGGAACTCTGATGTAAGTTTATCTTAATTTAATTATTGCCCCATCATAAAATATATGGAGAAATTTACAGATGGCATTGTGAATATTCCTTTGTGAAAACTGGGAAAGAACCATAGTAACCTATTTTACCTTTAAAAACTTAAAACAGCACGCCAACAGATTCATGCTAATTTTCATTAAAATTTTGTAAATGTATTTAAATGTGTAATATTGTGAAGTAACCAAAAGAAAGTAATATACACATTATCAATGGCACTTACAAACCACGTAAATTCCCCCAAAAATGACCAAAATATGCATATATAGTCTTAACTGCGTTAGTAACGCAGTAGAAATATAGTTGTAAATACTGAAAAATCAGTCATTAATCGCACATTATATGTAAAATATTACTTAAATCTTGAAACTTTTTTTTACTTTTCCTTACATCTTAGTACATTTTTTCTCAAGTTTGATTTCATTAAAAATATGTTGACTCATCTGGAGGCATGTAGCTTAAGTTAGCTACAAATAATTAATGTAACTGTCGTTAGTTATAAAAGTGAATTAAGACAAGTCAGTGCAATCGTTACAATAAGATGTTCTTAAATATGATTGATCGATTACAATTTGTTCAATAACTTTAATTTGCAGAACCAATCGGTTTGTTGAGTTTCGGAAGCTGTGTGAATTATTTGCTAATGAAATTATAAAAGGACGAGATCCTTCAGCAATGATATTAACCAAGATCACAAAATTCCCGCCTCTTAGAGGTAATAAATATTTACCATTTCATTTGTGTTTATTATTATTATTATTTTTAATGAAGATTAATCTTTAGTATATTGTTTAGAGTATGTATTAATAAATATAGAGTATATCCATGCAGGTGTACTTTCTTTAATAAATCTGGAGTATATTCATGCATGTGTACATCCTTTTTTCAATATTGATTTATTGATCTAGAGTTTATTCCTGTATGCATACTTCCTTGATCAAATATTGATTAAACAGTACATCCGTGCATGTGTCTTTCTTTTTTAATCTATATTGATTAATCGAGGGTATGTACGTATATATATGTGAATGTTTTTTTTTTTTCTTTATGGAATATTGATTATTACAGAAGTATTTGTGTATACTTTCTTTAGTAAATATGTTCCTGTACACTCAGTTTAGAGTAAGCCAATGTACATTCAGATAATACATTTATATTATTATTATCATCTGTCGTGTATATTAATGTACACTTTCTTTATTCAATATTTATGTGACTTTCTGTCTGTGTAGTCAAATCTCTATCTTGATTTGAGCCGCGTCACGATAAAACCAACATTATGGGTTTGCGACCAGCATGGATCCAGACAAGCCTGCGCATCCGCGCAGTCTGATCAGGATCCATGCTGTTCGCTATCAGTTTCTCTACTTGTGATAGAGTTGGTAAGCGAACAGCATGGCTCCTGATCAGACTGCGCGGATGCGCAGGCTGGTCTGGATCCATGCTGGTCGCAAACGCAAACGCAGTATGTTGCTTTTGACATGACGCGACTCATTTTAATTTGTGACGAAATTTTTCTAAGCAATGATCTTCAGTTCAAATGTCCAAATATAATTCTGTTCATATTGCTTCATAGACGTACTATTGTTGTTATATTGAGAACTACTTAAGTTTAATTTTATCGCATTTTTATGCCGTCATAGTGTATTTCAAACAATATTCCTTAAAAGTAAACGATCAGAAGGAAACCGTTTTTCTTAACTTGTGAATAATGTTACAGATGTTCCTCTGTTGAACGAGGCTTTTGATCTACTGAAAGATTCTGCGTTTGAATATCATATATCTCGTGAGAAGGGAAATTTAGATTATTGGCCTGAAGATGACCCACAAAATAACCAAAGGGATTCAAATAGGTCCAGCCCTTCAACTGATAGGTTAAGAAGAACAAGACAGACATATAATACGTAAGTTAAAAACCTATATACACGAACTTCCTTAAAAAGCTCAAGTGAGGTAAAAAAAAGAGTCTAAAATCATAAAAGTTAAATTATTATTTATAATATATTAAGTGAAGTACTTAAAATAATTAGATTTGCTGAGGCTTAAAAAGAAATATACTTGGTGTCAAATTGAATATCCGCTTATGTGCGATTCTTAAAGTGAAAAGCGTAAAGCGTTGCAACGCTTTTCATTGTTTGGAACATTTATAAAACATTTTTCTTTAAAAAAGTGATTACGAATTGATCTGAAAATTTGCACAGAATTTATTGGTCTAGACCTACATCGAATAGTACACAAATGTAGGGGAAATATTTCCAGTCATCTCGTGTCAAAAATCCTCAGTGGAGTCCCTTTAAATTTAACATATCACATTGTAATAGGACTGTTTAAATTAACATTATAAAAATATCAACTACACTGAATAACACTGTGTTCATGCAACAATTTAGAAAATATGACACTAGCTAGCCGTTTGTATTTGCTCTTTATTTTATATAGGTTTTTACCAAAAGAAGAAATGGCTGCATGTAAGAAATTGTTCCGGAAATTATCGCAAGTATGCCATAAACACCAGCAAGCACTTGAACCCTTACAAGAAGCTATTTCGGTAATTTTAAGTTTTTATTCTGAAATGAAATGCTGACAATTCTTATGTATTATATAGTTTAAGATACTTTACAAACTGCAATATAAGTTTAGTTTTTTCAACTGTAATGATGTCAGATTAATCAAAGCCTGTTTTAATTTTATTCAAAGTTAACACCTTCTTGTATATGTTATTTTTAATAAAATTTCTTCCGGAAGTTTGAAGAGCTCTTCATAAAGATTTCGTGACGTTATTACAAATAACAATTCATCAAACCATTTTCCAATGAAATAATAATACCCATCATTTATAAGAGCATTCTACTATTAAAGTGACAGATGAGTCAGTCCAAACACTAAACAGACAGTAACACATTCTAAATATAAAACATCAAACTAGTACAGAGTATATATTTCATGAAAGAAAAAAATAATGTAAGAAACGCTTATCAAATTTGAATTCTATTTATAAACTTTTTATGATTAGGAATACAAAGAACTGGACAGGAAATGTTTGGATGCATACACACAGATGAATATTGCATCTGACAACTTCAACGAATATGCTAACGGTGATGTAGATGACCAAAATGGATTCAAAGAGGCCAGCTATGAAGCTCATAAGGTATACATACAGCGGACGAAAGAATACACCATGTACAAAGAAAAGTCAAAAGTGGCCTTTGAGAAGATGTACCCGAGGTACAAAACAGAGAAACAAATCAGAGAGGAGCGTATGAATAAGGTACTATTTTTAAAAATCCGGAAATAAATATTATACAAGATATTTGATTATCTATACAAACTGAAGGTCGGTCGTTGTAAAACAAATTTAGAGATGTTTCTAAGTGGTCAATGCTCTATGATTTTCTTCTACATGATATTTCTATAAAACAGATACACTAAGAAGAGTGCCATTTGTTAAATGACTACCATGATAATTAAACAGTGGTCTTCATAAATTGACAATGCAGTTACCTAGATAAAAAAAACTTAGCTTCATCGTGGAATTTTATTGTATTTTTGCAATTGTTTTATATTTTTTATCTAGTATTATCTGTTATTATATTGTGACAGTTGGACAATGATTTGAAAATCATCATAGAGACAGAGATGAGGGAAATACTGACAGAGGGAATGAAAACATTGATGAAAATAGCTACAGCATGCCGATTCTCTCCGTAAGTTTATATTGGCATTTTTTTCTCTAAATGGTTAAAAGTAATTATCTCACGGTCCGTTTGTCTGTCTGTTTGTATATGCTATGCATATGTGACGGTAAAACTTTCTAACTGATTATTACAAAAGTAGTATTTTTTCACTAAGTATATGAAACGGAATTTGTCATTTTAACGGTTGTAAAGATACGTTCAACTCATCTTTATTAGTCGTTTACTTTTTTTTGATCTAACTTTAAATTTGTATCAGTCATTTGTGGTTGGTTTAATCTTGATTTCATTTGAACCTTTAACGTAATGGATTTACCAAGCAGTCCATTCAAAATTAAAGGAACTCCAGCTTTTAGTTTAAAGGATTTAATACAATTGATAGAGCTACGATTGTATAGAGCCTAGTCAGACTGCATGGTTGTTCAGACTTGTCTAGCTCTATACAGGGGCAAAGGATAATCACATTCGGTTCCAGCAGTTTTCAGGTTTAAAAAGCATTGTTTTTTTTTCTGCTTCAGAGATGTCATAGATAGAATTGGAAACTTTGATTGTGCCATCACTGCTGAAAAGCTTTACAGAGATGTTTGCTTAAAGTATTGCCATCCTGCCGTTAATGAGGTCAGATTCTTGCTGTACTAAAAATTAATAAACTGAAAGTATTAGTATATGCTACCCCATCTACCCCCCCCCCCCCCCCCAATTACTTTTATTACTAGTGTATACATGTACTGAAGAGATATTATCAAACGATTTGATTTCTTCATGTTTATATAATAAAGGATAACTAAAAGATAAGGAACATTATAAAGTATTTAGTATTATGCAAGAATACTTATGAAATTTAATTACTTTTATGGAAATATCTAACATAAATTTGCATTATATATATATATATATATATATTTTTACAAAAATTAAACAATGTCACTAAATCTTATGTGCTAAGAATTGGGGAGAAACTGCAGTTCTTATTTTGTTTTCAAAATAAATTTCTTTTCTTTTAAACAGAAGCATCTTGGTGATGTACATGGAAACAGTCTCTACATTTATCCATATTTTCATGTCATGGATAAAGATGAACGAAGATTTCGGGAGCACGAGAGTTGTATATCTCTACTAGATGGCGAATCAAAACGTAATTATTTTCATTGATAATTCATTGGCCTGCTGACAGGCAACTAATTTTACCCAAGCAACCAGTGAAGATCAAGATCAGCTTTGCTGTCTGGTCATGGTCGGCACTGTACCCTATCCAGTTAGAACATATGTAAATATTGTCCGTGAAAATGACGAATGTTTTGTTATTGTTTTGTTTTCAAGATTGAAAGATTTACAAGTCCATTTACATGTATCTTGATTGGTCAAGGATATTAGTGATTCCTTATAAAACTGCTATTTTAATATTTGTTTAAACAATTTTATTATTTTGATAGAATTTATTAACGAAATATTAAAGTTGAGCTAGATATTGCATTGCTAAATCATCAAGTATACGATAATAGTGCAAACTTGCATTATTTTGTAATCACTAACCAATTTTCCCGAAAAAGGGATAATAATCCATGAATGGTATATTTTTAGTATTCAGACGAGAGGAGCTTTACGTATGGGCGAATTCCACAGTAGATGTTAAAGGGAAAGATTATATGCTCAAGTTGAAACAAGGTAAGACAATTCCACGTTTAATGCGAATAATCATACTCAATATATGCCACCTTTTTATCTTTATAAAAACACTTTTTTTATCTTTATAAAAGCCTTTTTTTGGTATATTAAAAAGAAATATTATGGATTCCCTTAATTGTTGATCAAATGAGTCGTATTTATAAATACTATATAATTAAGATATTTATAAATTGTAGTTTTGCATTAAAAAATATTAATGTTTTCAGATATTAACATGGAAGTTAAATTGTAATATCAATACAAATTATTCTTTTTTTCTTTTCTTCAGATATTAGCATCAAACAGAAGTTTTTTTCCGCTGACGGCAGCCTTGCATTTGGTTGGACAAGAAAGTTTGGATGCGGGAACAAGCATTATGGTTTCTATCCTACGAATGATACAAGACTTGTCCGATGAAATTCAATTTTTATCTACAAAAATATGCAAATATTATATACATATTTATTTTGAAGCACATTCAGGTTTTCTTATTTTTTTCTCGACGTAACTATATAATACAGTGGCATGAAGGGGCCACCTACAACGTGCTCACACGATATCTACTACATGCGCACGCGATAACTACCACGTGCGTTCGCAATAGCTACTACGTGCGAACATACAAGCTATTACGTGCGCACGCGAAAGCTATTACGTGCGCACGTAATAATTGATCAACGTAGTAGCTATCGCGTGTGCACATAGCAACTATCGCGTGCGCACGTAGCAGATAAAATATTTCTGATGTTCCCTCTATGCCACCGTAATATTAACATCGTTTTGGTCAAACTACATGTATTTGAATTTAGATTGATATATTTATTAACCGATTAGGCTTATTTTTGGACAAAACATTCCCGACATGTTGAATCATTTAATAAAATTACATCGGCCTAAAGTCACTGGGGATGTTAAATAAGTCAAATACGACCTTAACCTTGAATTGACCTTGGATGTCAAGGTCAAATCATTTAAATGTGCTTAGGTTGTTCTAGCTTTGTTATTTATTTGCGGATTTGATTTATACTTGGACAAAAAAAAACAACAACCACACACACACATTAGTGGCTTAAATTGTTATATTTTTTATCGGTTTACAGATTTGATTTATAGTAAGACAAAATAGCACATATTCAATTTAGCGAATATTGTCATAACTAACGCTGCATGGCACCTGTACCGTCTGATTATGGTCTGCACTGTTCGCTCATCAGTCGGTACACTTTTTGAAAATTACTCTAATAACTATAAAGGTGCATGGTTTTGGCAAATTTTCCAAAACGGATATGTAGCGTTTAAAGGGTTTTTACAACTCAACTCAACTCTTTTATTTCATAATCAAAGGCCTCCGGCCCAAAATATATATCAAACACTAAAGCAGCATTTGAATCAGGTTATGTCCATATAATATCAGTATTTATGACGTTAACTTCAACATTATAGCAGTATCTACGGCATTGTCTATTAATTTCAATATAATAGCAGTATTTATTTATAACACTGTCCATCAACCCCAACATAATAGCAGTATTTGTGACATTGTCTATTAACTTCAATACAATAACAGTATTTATGACATTGTCTATTAATTTCAATACAATAGCAGTATTTATGACATTATCTATTAACTTCAATACAATAGCAGTATGTATGACAATGTCTATTAACTTCAATACAATAGCCGAATTTATGACATTGTCTATTAACTTCAATACAATAGCAGTATTTATGACATTGTCTATTAACTTCTATATAATTTTAAGCAGTATTTATGACATTGTCTATTAAGTTCAACGTAGGAGCGTTATTCATGACATTATCTACAAACAACAATATAAGAGCAGTACGCATGACATTGTCCACTAACATCAATATAATAGCAGTATTCATGACATTGCATATCAATATTAACATAAAGTTCAGCAGCATTTATGAAATTGTCTAATAACTTCAATACAATAGCAGTATACTATGACATTGTCTATTAATTTCAATATAATAGCAGTATTTATTTATAACACTGTCCATCAACCCCAACATAATAGCAGTATTTGTGACATTGTCTATTAACTTCAATACAATAACAGTATTTATGACATTGTCTATTAATTTCAATACAATAGCAGTATTTATGACATTATCTATTAACTTCAATACAATAGCAGTATTTATGACATTGTATATTAACTTCAATACAATAGCAGTATGTATGACAATGTCTATTAACTTCAATACAATAGCCGAATTTATGACATTGTCTATTAACTTCAATACAATAGCAGTATTTATGACAATGAATATTAACTTCTATATAATTTTAAGCAGTATTTATGACATTGTCTATTAAGTTCAACGTAGGAGCGTTATTCATGACATTATCTACAAACAACAATATAAGAGCAGTACGCATGACATTGTCCACTAACATCAATATAATAGCAGTATTCATGACATTGCATATCAATATTAACATAAAGTTCAGCAGCATTTATGAAATTGTCTAATAACTTCAATACAATAGCAGTATACTATGACATTATCTATTAACTTCAATATAATAGCAGTATTTATGACATTGTCTACTAACAATATAATATCATTATTTAATTTTACCAATGAAATATGGTGCTTTATTTAATTTTATCCATGAAATATGGTGCTTTATTATATACTTACAATTGAAATATTGAGAAATATTGATGAAATAAAATGTGTATTTTCATTTTCCGTATTTTCACTGTAAAAATTTATTTTTCACTGCAATGAAACATATTTTCTGTATTTTCACTGGTGTCTTGCCGGACTACTTTCTTTTAAATTCTGCCTGTACACAAAATTTAAGGGAAAGTCTTTCAAATTTTAATGTCAAAAAAGAGAAATATGTATATAATAAACAGAAAATTCAAGTTTTTTCTATAAATACATGATTTATTTTCATCTTGTGGCATGAAAATTACCATATTTCACTCGTGGCTACCGCCACTCATGAAATATTTATTTTCATACCACTCGATGAAAATAAATCATGTATTTATAGAAAAAACTTGAATATCCTCTATTTATTTAATTTTACCCTGAAATATGGTGCTATATCAGTCAAATATAATTCATATTTTTTAAAAATAAATATGAAATATAAATATGAAAGTGGGCGGAGTCAAAACTCATATTTATTTTAAGGGACTTCTTTCGCCGTTTTGTTTTGAAAAATCTAATAAGTACAAAACAACTTTTTCTTGAATTTTGTTTTGATAACTATCTAGCATGATAGAAAATGGTCTAACTAAGAAAATTAATCCGGACACCAATATCTTTAATTCAGTAATTAACGCTGTACAGACGTTTAAAGAGTTGTTTACAAGACGTCATAATGTAGCGCCAAACAGCGCGTGCTTACGCATAAATTACTGCGCGCTGTACAATTGCAGTTGGTAGCAAGCAAGGGTATTCGTTACCATTTTCTTTGATAATGAAATTAAATAAAAAGGTTATTTTTTCGTTTTTCGTGAAATATGGTATATATTTTCACTCAACATGATAAAGTGCCACATATTTTCACTCGCCGTGCCGGTGTAACGTTGTAAAGTGACCCCATAGAATAATGACCCCACGGTCATTATTTTATATAAGATAATGACCCCTTTCTATAAAATACTGACTCCCC